TCATATCAAGCAGTCTGGAGTCCCAGGAGAAAAAAGAGTCAGACACAGAAAAAATATTTAAAAAAGTGATGGCTAAAGTCTTCCAAGTTTAATTAAAATAATAAGTCTATACTGTAGTTCAAAGAATCTCAACTCCATACAAGATAAATACAAAGACAACCACATCAAAGCAAAATTGCTAAAACCCAGTGATTAAGAAAAAAAAAATCCTAAAAGCAGAGAGAGAGGAAAAAAAGACACATTACATTTAAGGGAACAAATAGTGAATGCAAACTGTTCAAGATAGATGGCAATGAAAGAGCATCATTAAAACGCATGACAGAAAGTCAATTTAGAATCCTGTGCCAGAGAAAAACATCTTTCAAAGGAGGTGAAATAGGCCGTGTGTGGTAGATCACTCCTGTAATCCCAGCACTTTGGGAGGCCAAGGTGAAAGGACTGGTTGAGCCCAGGAGTTCAAGACCAGCTTGGCAACATAATAAAACTCTGACTCTACATTAAAAAAAAAAAAAAAAAAAAAAAAAAAAAAAGCTGGGTTTGATGAGCTACTCAGGAGGCTGAGATGGAAGAATCACTTGAGCCCAAGAGGCTCAGGCTGCAGTGAGCCATGATCATGTCACTGTATTTCAGCCTGGGGAACAGAATGAAACTCTGTCTTAAAAAACAAAAACAAACAAAAAAACCAAACACAAACAAAAAACAAAAGCAAAGAAATTTTTTTTTCATCCAAGCTGAAAACTATGACTATTCATTGCCAGCTAACCCATATCCCAGGAAATGTTAAAGTTATTCAGGCAAAAACAATATCAGATGGGAATTCCAATTTACAAAAGAAATAACAGAATGGTAAATTTGTGGGTGATACATATGCCTTTTATTTTCATAATTCACAATTGACAATTTAAAGCAAAAGTAATGATGTATTATGCATATAACATAGGTAGATGTAAAAAGCATAGTAATAATAATACATAGAATGATGGGGGAAATGGAAAAATACTGTTTTAAGGGTGTCACTTTATTTTTTTAATTTTTTTTTCAGATGGAGTGTCACTCTGTCACCCAGGTTAGAGTGCAACGGTGTGATCTCAGTTCACTGAAACCTCCACCTCCTGGTTCAAGTGATTCTTCTGCTTCAGCCTCCTGAGTAGCTGGGATTATAAGTGCACGCCACCACACTTGGCTAATTTTTGTACTTTTAGTAGTGATGGGGTTTTACCATGTTGGTCAGGACTGGTCTTGAACTCTTGAGCTCATGAATCATCTGCCTCGGCCTCCCAAAGTGCTAGGATTACTAGGCGTGAGCCACTGCACCCAACCGAAGAGTGTCACTTTATTAAATATAATGTTATTTGAAGATGGGCTTTGATAAGTTAAAGGTACGTATTGCAACCTACAGTAAGCACTGAGAAAAATAAGAGGTATAGCTAATATGTCAACAGTAGAATTAAAATAAAACTTTAAAAAAGAAAGAAAACGAGAAAAAACAGAAGATGGAACAAACAGAACAAACAGAAAACAGGAGTACAGTAGACTTAACTAAAGTGATAATTACGTTAAAATTCAATGGTCCAAATACTGCAAATAGAAAATGAAGATGATCAGTCTGGATTTTCTTTTTAGAAAAGACCCAAGTATAAGTTATCTGTAGAGATGTAAAGATTCATATGAGTTTAAAAAGTAAAAATATGAAAAATACTGATACCAAATCCACACAAACTTTTTCCAAATACAGAGGAACTTAACTCATTTTACAAGGCCAGTATTACCTCAATATCAAAATAAAGCAAAGACATTGCAAAATAAATAAATAAATAAATAAATAAATAAACAAACCAATAATCCTCATGAATGTGTCTAGGAAGGACACAGACACACACACACGTATACATGCTCCCTAACAAAACTCGAGTAAATCAAACCTGTAATACATAAAAAAGATAATATATCATAACCAAGTAGTTTTTTCCAGGAATGCAAATCTGGTTTAAAATTCAAAACTAAACCAACAGAATTTGCCACTCTAACAGACAAAGGAAGAAAAACCATATGAACATTTCAACAGATCCAAAACAGGCATCTGACAAAATTCTATGGTCATTCATACTAAAAACTCCTCATCCAACCTGGAAGAGGAAGGACATCTTCTTAATTTATTGTAGGGTATTCTCAAGAGACTTAATGGTGAAATACTGTAACTTTTCTCCTCAGATTGGAAATATGTCAAGGATGTTTGCTCTTACCATTTTTAATTCAACAATACACTGAGATCATGTCTTATTCAATAAGGCAAGAAAAAGAAATAAAAGGCATCCAGATTGTAAAGGAATACATAAAACTGTCTCCATTTGCAGACACTATGGTGTATGTAGAAAACTCTAGGATATCTACCAAAAAGTTACTAAAACTAATAAGTTAAGCAAAGTTGCAGAATACATGATCAACATTAAAAAAAAAAATTTCATTTCTATATAGTAGTAACACACAGAAGAATGAAATTAAATAAACAGTACCATTTAGAAAAATACTTAAGATTAAATTTAACAAAATATGTGCAAGACTTACACAATAATTATAAAATACCTGTTAAGAGAAATTAAAGAGGAGTTAACTAAGTAAATGGAGAGATATATCAAGTTTCTGAATTAGGAGACTCCCTATTCTTAAATTTTCAATTCTCTACAGAGTCTATGTAATTCCACTAAAAATTCCAGCATTCTTTTTTTGGGAGAAAATGATAAGCTGGTTATTATTATTAGGGACAGGGTCTCACTCTCTTGTTTAGGCTGGAGTGCAGTGGCATGATCATAGCTCATTGCAGCCTTAATCTCCTGGGCTCAAGTTATCCTCCTGCCTCAGCTTCCCTAGTAGCTGAGACTACAGGTGCACACCACCATGCCCAGCTAATTGTTTTTATTTTTGTAGAAATGAGATCTCATTATGTCACCCAGGCTGGTCTTAAACTCCTGGGCTCAAGGGTTGACAAGTAAATCATACAATTTATATACAAACGTGAAAAATCTTAAATGGCCAAAATAATTTCTGAAAAAGAAGAGTAAAGTTGGAGAATATATGATCTGATTTCAAGATTTACTATAGAATTGTATTTCTATATAGACAGACTTAGGGATTAAAGAAACAGAATAGAGTTCAGAAATAGAACCACACATATGTGACTAAGTAATTTTCAGTGAAATTATCAAGGTTATTTCAATAAGGGTAAAGAAACCATTTTCAACAAATGGTAAAGAAACAATGAAATAATCAATCGGAAAGCAAAAAAAAAAAAAAAAAAAAAAAAACCAAAAAAACCCCCATGGAGCCTAACCTAATTCCATACTCAAAAAAGTAGACTACTGACTTAAAAGTAGAAGTAAAAACTATAAAAATTTTTCTTTTGTGCAAAGATTTCTTAGAAATAACACGAAAATATTAATTATAGTAGCAAAAACTGATAAACTCCATCAAAATTTAAAACTGCTCTTCAAAAGATACCAATAAGAAGATGAAGAGTATAGGAGAAAATACGGTCCATTTATCTAACAAAGGACTTATATCTAGAACATGTAAAGAACACTTACAATTCAACACTTACATTTCAATAGTAAGATAAATTTTTAATGGGTAAATTATCTGAATAAACAACTCAAAATAAAATCTAGAAAGGGCCAATAAGCACATGAAAAGATGCTCAACACCATGAATCATCAGGAAAATATAAATTAAAATCACAGAGACACCAGTACACACATACTAGAATGGCTAAAATCAAAACCACTGATATTACCAAGTATTGATGATGTACAGCAGAGGTCAGCAAACTATATCCCACAGGGCAACTTCAGTTTGCTGCTACTGCCTGGTTTTGAAAATCAAGTTTTATTAAGACACAGTTACATTCATTCTTTCAAGTACTGTCTATGGCTACTTTTCTGCTACAATGGCAGAGATGAGTAAGTTTCAGCTTAGCAATAAAACGAATGAACTTCTGATACTTGATCACAAGTGGACAAATCTCAAAAACATTTTGCTGTACAAAAGAAGGCAGAAACAAAAGACACAGATTCAATTTATATGAAATTCTAGAACAAGCAAATTTAATTTAAAGTGGCAGAAAGCAGATTAGTCATTGGTTGGAACAAGAGGTGAGGGGTGGGGAAATCTGTGTACAAGGGAACTTGTTGTGGGATGATGAAAACTTTTCTAACTTGACTGTACTGGTGGTTACACTGAGTGTATATTTTTGTAAAAACTCAAACTGTACAATTAAAATGAGTGTATTTTATTTACTTTAAAAAAGATACCTCAATGAGTACAAATTTGAAAAAACTTTAGGTTTTGATGGGTTTCGGAATTCAGAATTTTTCAGGTTTTTTAAAAAAGTGCCACTGTACATTAACTGTATGTTATATAACATCCCCAACTGGTTTTGCAGCAGCACCTCATATTGAAATATAAATACATCTTCAGCAAATATGAGTATTCAAACTAAATGAGTTAAGTCTAGAAATAGCCAAGGTCTGGTTTTGCGAGCAAATGAGTTTTTGAATATAACTAAAGAAAAAACTTTGAGTGCTCAGAGTTTTTAAAAATTTAGTCTTATAGATAAGGTGTTATGGACCTGTATTTATATATGTTATATGCTGTCTGCCCCAAGAGTCTTGTGTGCCAGGCACTGTTGTCAGATACCTGCAGGGCATATGAAACAGGTAACTCTGCCCTTGCCTTGTGGAGATCAGATAGGTATGATGCAGCTACCATCAGGGGCTCACAGAGTACAGGGGAGTCTGACATAGACAAGAAACAGCATTAAAGGCAGATTCTGTTAATGCATCAGGAGACACAAGGGGATGGAGAGATTAATTCAGTCTTTCCCTGAGGACATCAGGCTAGAAAGGAAGGCTTGGGTTTCATCATGGTAGGTCATATATGCTGGACTAAGCCATTTGCATTTTATCCTGTAAGCAATAGCACTTCAATACTTATTAAACTGGACTTACCAGTGATGCTCTCTGAGTCTCTGTGATTGCTATTCATGAGGTTTTCTTCACCTGTTGGTGATATAAAAATTGCATTCTGGGATTGACTCATACAGGATCCTTTCTTGCTTTGGTTGAGAAGGACAGCTTTGGTATGAATCAGAGTAAAGGAAATCCATCAAGCCATTCAATAATGAAATGGATTTGGTCACATGGGTATTTTCTTTTAGAAAGATTTTCTCCGATGAGTCAAATGACATCTGTAGCAATGAGCACCCTCATGTGATTATCACACCTTGGACAGTCATGACCTACAACAAAAACACATCAAGTGACTAGAATTCAGCATGCTCTTTAACAACAGAAACCTAATTAATTAAAATATCCATCATTAAAAATGTTTTTCTAAGGATACATACAACACGGATAAATCCCATGCTGGAAGAAAGAAGTCAGACAAAAAAAAGAGTACATAGTTTATTATTTCATTTATATAAAATTCTAGAAAATGTCAACTTATCTATAGTGACAGAAAGCAGATGAGTGGCTACCTGGGGTTAAGGGAGGAATTACTAAGGGAGAGGAGAAAGTTTTTGGAATGATGAATATATTCATTATTTTGACTGCGGTGATGGTTTTACAAACGTGTATCAAAAGTGATTAATTTGTACACTTGAAATGTGTAATTTGATGCATGTTAATTATATTTAAATAAAACTTTAATTTTTTTAAAAAGATATAAAGATATAAAGTAATACACTAATAACATATTGTAGGGTCTATAACATACGTAGTAGAATGTTTTGCAGTAGCACAAAGACCAGGAGGAGGGAAATGGGCACATACTATTGTAAGGCTTTTAGATTAAACATGAAAGAGTAACATATGGCTTGAAGATAGACTGTGATAAGTATACTATAAACCTGAAATCAACCAATTAAAAAACTCAAGAATTACAGATAGTAAACCAGTGAAGAAGATGAAATGGAATAGTACAAAACAGGATTTTTTAATCCTACCACAATTACATTTTGGGCCAGGTATTGCTTCATCATATGCATTGTAGGATCTTTTACCTACTAAGTGCCAGCAAAATCCCTTCCTTAGACTCTCTCCAGTTCCATCCAAAATGTCTCCAGACATTGCCAGATGTCCCCTTGGGGTGGGGGGGTGTGTGCAAAATCATCCCCAGTTCAGAACCACTGATACAATAGATGTTCAACTTCACTCATAATTAAAACAAAAATACAAACAAAAAAGTGTTCACTTACTAGATTAGCAAACATGAAGTTTTACTACATTCTTTGCTGGAGATGATGTGGAAAAAGGAGCTCTTTTATACCTTGTTGATAAAAGTGTAAATTGGGGCTGGGCATGGTAGCTCATGCCTGTAATCCCAAGATCTTGGGAGGCTGAGGCAGGTGGATCACTTGAGGTCAAGAGTTCAAGACCAGCCTGGCCAACATGGTGAAATCCTGTCCCTACAACAAATACAAAAATTAGCTGGGCGTGGTGGCGGGCACCTGTAATCCCAGCTACTTGGAAGGCTGAGGCAAAAGAATCGTTTGAACCTGGGAGGCAGAGGTTGTGGTGAGCTGAGATTGCGCCACTGCACTCCAGCCTGGGTGACACAGCAAGACTCTGTCTCAAAAAAAAAAAAAAGGTACAAATTGGTACAAGCTTTCAGAAGGCTATTTGGCAGTGTCTACCAAACTTTTACATGCATACATGCTGTAACTCAACAGTTCTACCACCAGGAATTTACAGAATAGATATACTCACAAAGTGTGCCAAGATGTAGGGATAAGGATGCCCATACAGTATTGGTTTGGGAAAAAAAAGCATATACCACACAACTGAACTAAATGTCCACAAATAAATGGTTTATAATAGTGGTACATACAAAGGAATGTAATGTACTAAATATATGTGCACACTTAAAAAATTAGGAACTGTCATCAGTAAAACTTCAATTCTACTTATTTCATTTATATCAAGACAGTCTCTGCTTGGCAACTTGTGGCTTTTACTTATAGTTAATTCATTCTCATATCTACTCTTTACAGGCACCATAAAAATTCAGTAAGAGAGTTACCCTCAAGAAGTAGTAATGAACAAAGTAAATAAAGGAGACTGAATATGGTTACTAGGGTAGAGGAATAGAGAAGCATTTTGAGCAAATCCTAGGGAGGAAAGTTTCAGAGATAGAATGTGAACAGAATTAAACATTACACGAAAGTCAAAAGGAAAATTTGGTTTATTTAAAAAGGGGTAAGGGACCAAAAAATCAATGATAACTTTCCAGAAACCAGTTCAGCCAAGAGGTTAGAATCAAAGCCAGGCTGCAAGGTGTTGGTAAGTGAGATGGTAAGAGTGAAGTTTAGTGAGTACAGACCATGATTTCCCAATACCTAGACTCTCAGATTTTCACAGATTAGTAAAATGTCAAACACTTCCATAGTTATTGTCATGGAATTCCTATTACTTTGTAATAGAGCAAACATTTTAGTTTAAAAAAAAAAAAAAGAGAGACACAACAAATAGCAGTCCTTCCCAATAAAGGAGTTTATAATTTTATGTTGGAACAACAACAACAAAACACACACACACACACACACACACACACACACACACATATATATAATGTATATATATGTATATGTGACACAGGGTCTTGCCTGTTGCTCTGTCACCCAGGATGGAGTGCAGTGGTGCAAGAACCACAGGAATTCTCCTGCCTCAGCCTCAGCCTCCCAAGTAGCCGGGATTACAGGCATGCACCACCACACCTGGCTAATTTTGTGTTTTTAGTAGAGACAGGATTGCACATGTTGGTCAGCTAGTCTCAAATTTCTGACCTCAGGTGATTTGCCCTCCTGGGACTCCCAAAGTGCTAGGATTACAGGCATGAGCCACTGCATCCCACCCTAGAAAGCTTTTTTTTTTTTTTTTTTTTTTTTTTTTTTAAAGTAGTAAGTTACATGCTTGTGAAGAGAGAAAAGGAAAGGAGAGGAAGATAGTGAATAGGGAAGGATGAAAAAGAATAGGATAAAAGCAAAGTATCTCTCATACTAGTCCACACTGATTCTCAGAGCTGTGGTTCTTTTAATCATATTTGAATCAAAGACCACTTTGAAAATCTAATGATAATTTTGGGACCTTATACCCACCACTCTGTTACGTACTAGCTGGTTTGATTATGCGTTTACATTACTATTTCTATTTTTCAGTTTCTATTTCTGCATTTATATACATCAAACAGGAACACAAAAATTATATCCTTTCACATATGGACTCTAGATCTTTGTTCTATAGAAGGGGTTCCTGGTCCCCAGGCAATAGACCTGTACCTGCCAGTGGCCTGTCAGGAACCAGGTGACAAAGCAGGAGGTGAGTGAGCGAAGCTTCATCTGTATTTACAGTGGCTCCCCATCACTCGCATTACTGCCTGAGCTCTGCCTCCTGTCAGATCAGCAGTGGCATTAGATTCTCATAGGAGCCCAAATGCTATCGTGAACTGTGCATTCAAGGAATCTAGGTTGTGTGCTCCTCTATGAGAATCTAATGCCTGATGATCTGTCACTATTTTCCATCACCCCTAGATGGGACTGTCTAGTTGCTGGAAAATAAGCTCAGGGCTCCCACTAATTCTACATTATGATGAGTTGTATAATTATTTCATTATATATTATAATGTATTAATAATAGCAATAAAGTAGACATTAAATGTAATACGCTTGAATCATCCCCAAACCACCCTCCCCATCTCCTATGGTCTGTGGAGAAATTGTCTTCCACAAAACTGGTCCCTGGCGCCAGAAAGGTTGGGGAGCTCTGTTCTAGAAAACTGCTTTTAAAATTAGCTTTGGAGATTTTGCTAATGGTTCAGTCTTAAATCTTGCATACCAGAATAGAGAAAAACAAGTTGAACTAAGAACTAAGTCCACCTTAAGAGTCATACAGGAAAAATGCAGAATTCCAGGGCAATTCAGGAACTGGCCCAGCCTGCAGACTGTGCACCAGGTCAGGGGTGATCTGGCAATGGTATGCTCTTCCCGGGGACTTTTTAGATCTAAATAAACTCTCTGGACATGCCCTAGTCTAAATCTGAGCTCCTCAGAAAGATCAGTTTGGAGTAGCAGTACTGAACGCAGTATCACGGATGCAGCCTGACATTAGACAAGTCTGAATTTTAACCTTATTTACTGCTTTTTTGAACTTGGGCACATTATTTAACATTTTTCAGTCTCATTCCACATTGTCAAAATGGGGATACTAATAACTACCCTTTATAAGAAGGGTCAGACATGAGGACTAAGTAAAAATGACAAATTCCTAGTTTGGTACCCAACATACAGTAGACACTCAAATGTGCATTCCTGTGAGCTTTCCCCTATCTCTCAGGCCTGAGAAAAGGATGATGTCTTCCACCTAATATTTCTTAAATTTCTGGCTCAACAGCCAACTCTGTACACAGAATGACTACCATGTTTGAGTATGTAGTAGATGCGGTCTGAAGATTACTGCTGAGTAATCTTCACATAGAAGGATATAAGGACTAAGAAACTTTGCTCCTGCTAATAAAGTTTCAAGTGCATAAAGCTGGGATTATCAAGGGTGATGATTACTAAAGCTCATTCTTTCATGGGTCTGAGGAAGGTTTGCTAATAACAAAAAGTCTTAACTACACCTAGTATCTTTCTCCATAGCAATGTGGCTATACATTTCCTGTTGCTGCCACAATAAACTACCACAAACTTGGTGGTTTAAAACAACACCAATTTATGATCTTACAGTTCTGAAGGTCAGAAAAATGAAAAGGTTTCAATGGACCAAAACCAAGGTGTTAGAAGGGTTGTGCTCCCCGCTTCTGGAGGCTCCAGGGAAAAAAATCATTCCCTTGCCTTTTCTAGCTTCTAGAGTTGTATTACTTGGCTCAAGGTCTCTTCCACCATCTTCTATGCCAGCAGCATAGCATCTTCAAACCTCTCTGCTTCTACCGTCATACTGTCTTCTGCTGTCAAATCTTCTTTGCCTCACTCCTATAAAGGACACCTGTGATTACATTTAAGGTCAAACTGCATAATCCAGCATAATTTTCCACCTCAAGATCCTTAATGTAGTCATGTCTGCAAAGTCCTTTTGGCATGTAAGGTAATATTCATAGGATCCAGAAGATCAAGATCTGGGTATCTTTGAGGGCCAGCATTCAGCCTACCTTAGTGGTTAAGAATGTGGATTCTGAAACTAGAGTGTCTAAATTTGAACTCCAGCCCCATCACTTACTGGTTGGGTGATTGTGGACAAATTA